TCTCTCCAGGCTCGGCCGCTGTTAGATTAGCTTGATGAACGAGTTTATTTTAATGGAATTAAAAAAATGAAATGAAGTTTGATTTACTCGGCAAATACAACTTGAAAAATAAAAACGCACATGCTTCATGGACTCAGTAAAGGGTGATAAGTCAAAAGATAATATTTAAATCAGCTGACCTGAACTCGGATTGTTCATGATTATGGTTGTCTAAAGTTGTCTGAGTCGGGTCACTTTATTTTTTTTATAGGATGTAGTTGATTTTGTTTATATATTTGGCTCCGTATGGTATATTGACGTTGTGGACGATGGCAAATTATCTTAAAGTTTGCGTAACTTATAGTTTTTGTTTCTGCAACTTGTCCACAGCATGGTAATATTCTGACCTCAAGGAGAAACATGAAGGCTTAAAGACATAATACTTTAACGCAGAAAGAAGAACAGTTGACTAATATACTAAATGGTCTTTGCATATTAGGTAATCTGAGGTGGAGTCACCAATAAACGATTAAAGAGGTGCACTGCATTATAATACAGGAAATGTGTAAACGGATGTTAGTGCTTTTGTGGTAGTTGGCTATTAGGGAGTAGAAGAAGAAATGGTCTTAAGACTGACCCTTTGTTTGCTATATTACAGGTGTTGCCAGATTTGAATCTCAGTTTTAAAAGACTCCGAGTTTTCTTGGACAAGTATGGTCTAGAAGATTTAGCACTATTACTAGTATTACCTTTTGTTCTATTATCATTTATATTGGTAGTAATTTTAATGATTATATTGATTCTTAATTATCACCCTTAATTAACTGTAATATTGAGATAAGGATCAAACCATTTCGGTCCTACAATAGGCGAAAGGTCAACCCGTTTTCAAGTAGGTCAAGGAAGGATCGCTCGTGGACTGCACACAAGTAAAATAGAAAAGCTGCAGACCAAAGATTATCTGTCGTCAGCCTACAAACCTCCTTATACTTGGCTGTAGTTTTATATTTGCATTTATCTTTAATAATTGTAATTGAAGTTATTCTTCAATTAGTCCTAGCAGTAAACTATAGCTGATGGAATTTCAGGTGCTTTGCAAGAGATAGCAGCCTCGGGAAATTTGTTTCACCATGAACTTAGCAAGCTTTATTATGAAAGCAGAAGATGGACTGTTTTAGAAGCAAGCACATTACTGGCCTAAGCTTACAGATCAGGCTCTAAGAGAATAGTTTTGTAGTTTCACCTTCAAAGTGACAATAGCCTACATAACAAGAATTCATGCAAACTCAGGCCCTATTGAAACATTCGGTCAGAGCTGACTCCAATATTATTAAACGTCTAATTATAGAGGCATCAAGTGACCCGATTGGCTGTATTTCTGGGTGCAGTACAACGGGAATCAGCCGTCGTCTTCTGGTGAGATCGAATATCTACATCATGCACTTTCATAATAAATGAAAGTCCCCCCAACAATGTATCTCTTGAGTAGGAGATTAATTACCTTAGAAGTGGGTTGACCTCGTTGTCGTAACTTGGTCTTGTTGTCAGGGTGACTTAGTATAACGCACCTAGTCCGAAGTCGTCTTCCATAGTAGTTGGCATGATTCCCAACATCCGACAGTGGACTTGGTACATTCTCAGTTTGATGCTGGGAATCATGACAACTACTATGGCAGACGACTTGGAACTAGGTGCGTTCTATTAAGTCACCCTGACAACAAGACCAAGTTGCGACAACGAGGTCAACCCACCAATATAAATCGAAAGGAGACTGCGACCAGACCAGAGGCCACAACATCTTGGTCTTCATATCTTTAATTACCTAAGGTCTCTGAAGGTGATTTAATGACTGATAAGTGAGTTTTCCCACACTGAAGTGAATAGAATTCACAATGTCATTGAATTTCACTTAGCTTTGCTGCCCATGGGGGTTTATCCCATGCAGGGTGGGTGGTAGTTTCCATTTCGCCTAGGTATCATCAGCAACCCCAGTGGGATTGATGCTAGGTCGCGAGTATTATGTCGATATATATATATATATATATATATATATAGAGAGAGAGAGAGAGAGAGAGAGAGAGATTA